TGTTGCCCACACACTTGTAACAACATAGTGGTTGTTGACCACGAACTTGTATCCTCATGGTGATTGTTAACCACACACTTGTATCCACAAGGTGATTGTTAACCACACACTTGTATTCACATGGTGATTGTTAACCACACACTTGTATTCACATGGTGATTGTTAACCACACACTTGTATCCACAAGGTGATTGTTAACCACACACTTGTATCCACATAGTGATTGTTAACCACACATTTGTATTCACATGGTGATTGTTAACCACAGACTTGTATTCACATGGTGATTGTTTACCACACACTTGTATCCACAAGGTGATTGTTAACCACTCTTGTATTCACATGGTGATTGTTAACCACACACTTGTATCCACATGGTGATTGTTAACCACACACTTGTATCCTTATAGAGATTTTCAGACATTTTCACCTCATATACCTTGCCTTGATGGACAAGGTAAAACACCATTTTTTAATTAAATTGGGCACACCAGAAAAATGGTTGATGACATGTTGAAATAAATGCGCTAATGAATACAGTTGCAGACAGATAAAATCAACATGGCCACCAGTTTGAATCAAATCACAGAAAAAAGATGTGCATCAGTAAACTATCATGTGTGACGTTCATAGAAAATTTGAATAAAATCGAAAAGGAAATGCCTGTGAAATAGTAGATGACAAGTTCAAATTTGTTGATACTAAAATTGCTGCAGGTCAATCAAAAGGAAAACAAACCAACATTGTGTATACCGGTACTAGTACCATTATTTGACCAAAATTGGCAAGTCATTTCAAGCAATGGTTAAAAACATAACAATTAAACCAACATGGCCACCATTTTATTCAAATGACATCCGTCAGAAACCCATTATGTATGATGATCATATCAATTCAAAGTTGACAGGTCGACAGTTGACAATGACAGGTTCAAATTTTGTGTTTTATTTTGTTTTGATGATAATTGCCAGTTGATTAAAATCCAAAAATAACTGAGAGGATCATGCAACTCATTATGTCTATATCAAATTTAGAGAAAATCTTTGAAAGTGAATTCAAGATGACCGGCAGTTGATCATTTTGAGGCAAATCGCGAAACTAAATGTCGTGAATCAATTACCCACCAAGAGTAAAGTCCGAGAAATAGTTGATAAAATGTCTGAATGTTTTGGGGGGAAAAATGGTCACCAGCTGAACAAAATGAAAAACAAATCAAATTGCATATGTTCCATTATGAACTGTTTTTGTACCAACATTGAACACACATCCATACATGTCTGAGAAACGATGACGGACATAAGTCCTTTTTTTGGACTACATCCAACTGGGATTAATGAAGACAAGATTAACAATTTAACATTAGCTTTGTTCATTTCTTGTTTCGATTTCCACACACAAAACATACTACCGGTAAATCTGTATTAGAAGCCGCATCCCTAATATAAGTTGCACCCATTCTTTTTGAACAATTGAGACCCAAAAATTTCTTCATTTCTCATATGTGTAGAAGCTCTAATAGAAGCCGCATCTTCGCTTTTGTATTGCGGCATTTTAATACAGATTTTACAGTACTACTGGTTCATACTACCACTGTCCCTCACGAAATACACGAAAGATGTAATTTCAATGAAAATATTTTAATTTGAAACTGTTAACCATGGCAACCATACTTGCATTGAAATTCTAAAAATAAAATATAGAAATTTTGAACACAAAATGAAAAATCCCCCCAACCCACAAATGATCATACAATACAATAAAAAATAAGCAAAAATTTACCACTTTCACATCTTTCCCTAGAATGAATATATTGTATGCCAAAGCAGAATTTAACACAATTATAACATTAGTTTTATAACAATCAGGGATTCTTGTATCATTTTACCTCATTTAATTTGCATAGGAGTACCTACACATGTACCAATACTCCATTTTACTAAACCTGTTAACATATTTTGAAATACAACATTTAATAGACTCCTCAGACCTATCAGTACAAATTGAGGCTAATGTATGTGAATGGGAACCCCTTCTATCATTCACCACCATTATCAACTTTGACCCTTTCACCACCATTGTCAACTCTGGCCCTTAAACTCTTTCACCACCAGGGTCAACTTTGACCCATAACCCTTTTATCACCAGGGTCAACTTTGACACTTAACCTATTCACTACCAGGGTTTACTTTGACCTTTTAACCAGAAATGTCAACTTTGACCCTTGACCTTACACTACAAGGGCTATCTTTTGTTACCATTCACAAAATAGTTCAACGGTTACAAAGAAAATGCCGATAAAAAAATATTTGATAAAACTGTTAGCAATATTAAAATTTGTCTGTTTTTATTCAAATTCATAAGTGAATTAAGCAAAAATTACTAAATATGTGTTAATATTTGCACCAATGGAAGATGGAAAAAAATGTGTCTATTGAATAGTGACAAAATCTTTTGTTGAAAGTTTATGAGAACACAAACAATACATCTTGTTTGTGTGTTTTGTGAGATACGACAAAAGTCAACATTGGTGATAAAAGCTTAAAGCGTTACCGAAAGTATAAATTATGGTCACAAGGACTCTGTCATGTATTGTATGAACAGAGTGTTGCTAACGATCTTTTGTTGACAGCATATCCATTACTTTTTACGATTCATTGATGGTAAAATTAAGTTTACTACTGAGGTCTGTAATCTTGCCTATTATAATAAAGCATGATAGACCTGATTGTCATCTACGTGAGAACAAAATAGACATTAGACTGAATTATTCTAATTTTGTTTGCTCGAAGTGACAATAAAACTAACTTTAATGTTACATAGTTGACAGAAAAAGTTTGAAAAGAAAAAGCACCAATTAACAGCTTTCTGATAGAATTCTGTGACATAGAATTAGGAATGCAGTCTACAAAAAACTGATTATGCAATATTTTCTGTACAAAAAAATAGTATATAATTATAATATATTATCTAGACTGTAGTAGTCTTAACAAATTTTATCAATAACATCAAATCAGATCTATTTTTTCATAACTTTTATTTATACATTTGTATGAACAGTTTATTCATAGCACTTTATACATTTTTACCTCCTTTCACATTATCATAGAACTCTTAAAGCATTTGGCGTGTAAACAGAATCCTAGGAACTAAACACTTGACCCAGTATTCTCCAATGTCACTGAGTAAGCAATGAAAATACCTGACTATTATTAGTACACGCTACACACCGTGGGTTGCTAACCCCCGTAATTCACTATAATCCGTCTTTTGAAAACAAAAACACACATTGCACAAACTGTACCTGCCAGAAGTCAACAGACAACTAATTTGGTACAAAATCTTTTTTTTCTTCGCTATTTTATTTTATTGCAAACTTTCTGTGGACGCTACCTTACGTGAAGTTACAAGATTAGTGGATAAATTTTGGATTAACCATCAGGGATTTGAATTGAGATGTAAACTATGCAGACCGCTCATTGTGGTAAAAAAATGCGAGACACGATGAGGGCTGAATTTGTAATCGCTTACACACACTGAACTAGTTTGTCTACTGGGTGGGTTGGAATTGAAGTGCGTCATTTAATATGCCAGCTAGAATTTCCGTTGCATTGTCACCAGGAGAACTACAAAATGCCCAAATCATGTTTTTGTGTTGTTAGTAATTAATGCAATTAATACCTTTAGCAAAGGATTAGTTCCAATCCAAACTTTTTTTTCTGGTGGCTGACTAAGCTAATGTTGAAAAAAAAGAATACAATATCAAATAAAAAAATTATGTGAAAATCATATTTCTGAAAAAAACCTAGAAATTAGGGTATAATTTGAAATATATTTACATTTTATATTAATCCACTATGTCAAAGATTAGAGCCAAACCCAATATGGGCTTGTCATGTGACAGCAACGAGCCACATTCATTGGATATGTAACCCTAACCCTACTGAGTCCAATCAATCAGGATAAAGCTTACTGTAAAACATGTCTTTAGCTAACTTGTTATTTTAGCTAATTTAGCCAAACCATAATTTTGTTAATTCAAGATGTCACTAATTTAACATAAAAAATATTCTCACAATGAAATTGTTAGCACTTTAACCACCAAACTTTTTCGCCCAAATTTGTCTGTACTTTTTTTTTTTTATATTCTTAAGTATTTCTGGAAATAAACCCTAATTTTGGAGCCAACAGTCAAAATTTATTAAATTTCCAGTTTTTACTCCAAATATTTGGCTATTTTTGTCCCAATCTTTGGAAGGAAAGTGCAGACTATAAACGGGACTATTTTGTGAATTTGTGATGAAAAGAGGGAACTGATAGAGAAAAGCTTAGCTAAGTAAGATTCATGCATTGAGCTAAATCCGCTAAAATGACATGTAGCTTTATCACTTTGTTTTACAGCATATTAAGAACCAAATTAACACAGTGGAAGCAGTCCACCAGACCCAGAGGCTAAAACATTCAATATAGTCATGTCATGAAACTAGCTAAAAAAAACAATAAATCAAAAAAAAAACACAGTAAACCACTGTAATATGACAGAGAAAAAGGTTTATAAGTTTATACAGGGAAAATTTCACAAGGGTTCTAGAAACATATAGTCATGGAAACTGTATGATCAAACTGGGAATATGATATGTAGGTCATTCTTGAGAAATATTTAATTGATTTCCTCTCTTAGAAGCATATTATAAAAAAGTGAATTTCCAATCCAGAAAACGCAGTATGAGAAATCATGATGACAATGAAACCAAACTAACATATACATGTAGTAAATTAAAGATAGGTTTTGGAAAACAAAAAAATAAGGGAATTCAATTGATTTAATGCAAGTAATAAACTATAATTATTGAATGAATAACTGAAGATTGTAACTTTTATGTCACAGCTTCCCTAATATTTGTCTTCTTATATAAAGAGCATTGTTCCTTTCATTCTATTTAACAAACTTATTCAAACGCAGGTTTGTCAACAACTTCTGTGCTAAAAAAAATAGTTTTCTTGGTGTGTAGACTGGCAACATCACCTTCTGTGTTGAAAAACTTGTGATGTCATTGCTTTCTGGGTTTGAAAGATGGTGACATCACCAACTATTGTGTTGAAGAACTAGTGACATCATTACCTTCTGACTTCCTGCAAGAACAATTAATAAATCTGATGAACTAATTTGCATAAGAGTCACCAAATGTCACACAATATTTATGGTAAAATTTAGTTCCTAATTCTTCTGTTTGTGTGAATTTCCCCATAACTTTGAACCAAACATTTATAAGATAAATCAGAAGCTAGATTGACAGACCAGTAACACATAACATACATATTTATTATGAAAGTCTAAATACATAACAAGACTGCTCAGAGCAGTGGTAGATGTGAGAATTCTGCAGTAAACGTAGACGAGTACTTTGCATTTCAGCAAAAATACCAATAATTGTTCGTTAACAAAAAAATGTTTGCTGAGAGAGAACGACCGTAGTGTTCTAAAAGAAGAAAGATTCTGTTATGGATCACCATCAGATGATATAACTTACCTCTTTTCTTGCATGGTTGTTGCCATTGTTACTAGCACCAGCATTTTGATTCTCTATTTTACTATTATCTTCTTTCACTTCCAAATTGTTTGATAATGCATGTTCATTTTTTTCTTCTGCGCCATTTTGTAAGTTTTCTAAGTGATCCTTGTAGAGGATGTCTTCTAAATTCATGGCATTGTCTTCTTCTTCATTTCTTTTAACATCCACATCCTTTCTGATATCATCTACTTTATCATCATCATCATCATCATCATCATCCATATCTCTTTTTGATCTATTGATGTGATCATCTGGTTCATCACCAGCCTCTCTCTTGAAGTGATGGGATTCATCTTTGCCTACCTCAACTTTTTTCTCTCCAGGACTCTCCACAAATTTCTTGTCATCATGCCTAATTTCAGCATCATTCACATTAAGTATGTCCCTTTGCTGCGGCTGTATATCTTGTCTCATCTTTTGTATATCGTCCTGTGGCATTTTGAGTCCATCTAAAAGCTTCAATCCGTCTGCTGGCTGCACATTTTGATCAATTGCATGATGCACAAGTTGTTCTGCATCTATTTTAGCAACAACTGGATTGATATCATTTGACTGCTTGTCAGGTGCATTCACTTTTGCTGGATCAACTAGACCTGGTTCATGTTGTGCAGGAGCTGCAACATTAACTTCATGTTTACTGTCCTGAGCTTGTGGATTTGGATTCTTTTCGTCGACTTCAATAGAATCATGTTGTTTCTTTAACTGATCTATAATTTCTTGTTGTTGTTCTATTATTTTCTCTTGTTTGTCTTGTTTCTCCTGAAGATTGTCAATCATTTTTTGCTGCTCCTCATGTTTCTGTTCTTGTTCCTTCACTTTCTCTTCTACTTTTTCCTCGAGTCGTTTGTGAGCCTCGTCATCATCCTCATCAATGACATGCTCTTTCTTCTCACCCAAATCAGCTATTTCTTGTCCATTCGGTCCCCGGTCATCCGGTCCTCCTTGGATTTGTTGTACTTCTGGCATCACAAGTTCAAATTTATCATCTATATAAAAAATATTGTGATGAGAAAATGAGACTTTCTATATATCTATACTATATGGTAAGCTTACCATCACAATATCAAGTTAACAAATTTATCCTATCATAGAAAAGATAAAAGAAGCAGCAATACCAGAGCAGCCAGGGGGTGTAGCCACATCTGGGCATTTTCCATGATTCAACTCAGCACTCTATGATATGGACATATTTGTGACAGTATATGTAGGAAGATGTTCATCTAAGTAGTTGTCATACCATGTCAATTTTTTATAATGTAAATTTCAATAATGCATCTATAAGAACCTTCAGTTTTTAGTTTTCTGCAGCTACTTTTGTTTAACTATATTAAGGATTTTCAAGACCAACTTGACCACTATTTGGGCAGCATAGTTCATCGAACAATGATGCCAAGTTTGGTGTTACACAGATGAGCGAACGGACGGACAGATGAACAGGGAGTATCCATTACAACAGTTCATATCTTTTGTGCATACAGTGCACCACTATGAATGTAATTATTCAAATACCCAAAAGTTTTAATAGTATCGAGCGGTGATATCCCTAAATTATTAATCACCTGGGAGGTCTTTTTTCTCTTGGATGTTGACTCCATTTTCTTTTTCCTGAAAACAGATGCAGATGCATTTATTACAGACATGTGCACAGAAAGTGTAAACAAACCTGTTTACAAATCCGAAATACATATGTAAACATAGCTTACTTTCACTACTCAAACAAGTTTGTGCAATATGTGGCCATCTGGTGGATGTTTTTTTGTCTACCTAGATACATATTAATACCAGGGAAATTGGTTTGAAAAAAAAAATAAGTTTTACATAGATCCTCAATTAATTGCGAGATAGAGGGACTCATCATACCAAAGATGAATGCTCTTATTATTGTTATATCTAGGATAGTTTACCTTCAACCTAAGCTGTAGAAAGAGCAAAGGATTGTGGGTAAACAGCCAACAGAATACAAGTTCATGATATGCACTTTAAAGAGACATAAGTCTACAACAGATCCTGGATGTGAATACTTTCTTCAACCACAACAACATGAAACAGAGTTGTAGAAAAATCCAAAACAAATAAGAAACATTTCTGCCAGGTCACGTCCCCTTTTTTTCAGTTGTAAAATGTCTCATTACAAGTTGCTGTGTACTATTTCATACTATTCCGTCGTGCAGGAATGGAATGTGTGGGAGAAGAAAGAAAGGGAAAAGTAGAGGAACCCAGCTGTTTGATGATCACACTGGATAAATATTTAAGCTATGTGGAACCTCTTGTAGCTTCAGAAATATACACAAAGAAAGATACACACACTCATTATTTCTCTGTACACAGTGGCCATGGCAAAGCCTAGAGTTCAACAGGTGGCTAGTAGTATGCATACCTCACTGTCATTAGGTGCATGTGGTACCGGCGGCTCCTGTCTTATGCCTTCAAACACTTCAACTCTTTTACCTATAAAAAAGAAAACAACAACATATAGCAATCAGATGCGAGGGGTGCAAAGGTCAGAAGCGGAGTTGTGAAGCGATTGTAGCAATTTCCATGAACACAAGCGTCGTTCTCACCCCAATCGGGATTTTAGGCGTTTGATGAAATGTTTCAATGATTGGGTCCCTGAAATTCAGGTAAGATAAGAGACATGTGCATCCTGTTGCAAAAACTAGTTTAACTTGATTCATTCAATTGACAAAATAAACAAGTGTTTGTCGCACCAATGCATAAGATAAGACATGTCGGGACATAATTATTAGAACCATCATAAGGTGCTCTGCTTCCATTTTCTCAGTAAACAGTTGAACTCCAGTGCCTGTGAGGGCTTCACACAAAATTCAAATCAACCAAACCTAATATAATTACTATGTAACATCAAAGGTAGATAAAAGAATAGCAATATGCAATTGAGGTGACGCACACCAAATTTCCATTTCTAGAAATACTAATGGCAAATTAATTTCTAAAACCAATGGCGCGAGTTCATATGATTTTTGAGTCAGTGCGTATAGCACCACATGAAGTTTTCCCTTCTTGAATAGTATCACTAGATCATGACAAATGGTTTCAACAAGCGAATGTTTCCTTGGTTACCAAAGAGCATTTTTAGCATTCTGTGATGCTATTTGGGCAAAACAAGTTGACTTGATGAATGAAACATTGCATATTAGCACGAACGTATGCCTTAATTTATCTACCTTTTTTTTGCATACAATTTGATAATTAGTAGCCTTAACAAAATTTGAGGTTACTAATCAATTTCAAAATCAGGGACAAACATGACAGATTTCACCAATTTCAAAATGGCAGCCATTTTGTTTTTCAATGCTATAGGAATAATATATAAAATAATATAAGAGTTTATTTTTGTTCAGGTCATTTTTAAACTTGACAAAAATTACTGACAAAATTATAAAGAAGAGATCACTGTCAAGTATCGTTTTATGAAAAATTATATTTTTTTAAGATGTCATTGAACATGGTTTTATAGTCACTTAACTGAACGGTGATTGGAACAATAATGATCCGTAACTAAGAGTGATTGGAACAATAACTGATTGGTAACTAACAGAGATTGACACAGGAACTGATCCATGACTAACAGTGGTTGACATAATAAATGATTGGTAACGAACAGAGATTGGCACAGTAACTGATTGGTAACGAACAGTGGTTGGCACAATCACTGATTGGTAACAAACAGAGGTTGGCACATTAAATGAACGGTACAATGCAGTAAAAAGAACCAGGATGTTAATGAGGGTCATAATCTTTTAGTTAAACTTGTTACCACCACAATGGGTTGACATTTGTGTTAATGGAAGTGTACACGGTAAATTTTCATTGTCCAAATCACCTTGAAAGAAATAGGGACATGCATCAAAAGTTCTGTATGTCAATGTTTTGGTTCCTTCTATGTACCGTGGTATAATGATGTTACCCTCACAATTTCAATTATAATTCAGATCAAAATTATCCTTCGTAATATTTCCTATTTCTTAGTGGTCATGTTGTTTTAAGTCATCTTATCTTAGGGGCCACGTTGTTTTAACAATGGAACATTAGATCGATTAGCTGACAATCCTTGAACTTGAGAATGATCTTTAAAATCATCACAAGTCTATACCTTTTAAGAGATTTGTTTGAACACTCCCGTCAATTAGGAATGATTACTCTGATGCTAAATCGTACTGATATCATGACGGAAATGGTTTGCGCTGGAAGTTTCCACCAGTGTTTGTAAAGGCATAAATCCAGTGCAACAAAACAAACAGAACCAGTAGTGGCAAAGCTATTTAAACTAGCATACTTAGCAGAAACTAAGCTTAATGACGCAAAATAAGAGGGTTACCATGGCGACACCACAGGGGCTACAAAATCTGCCCTACTGTACCTCGTTCCCCAACATTCTCATCTACCAGCACATCCACATTGTCATCTTCTAATTTCCCAGCATGCAATTTCTCTTCACCCTTCCCCTCAACTACAAGCGACTTAGCATGCTCTACGGCTGCTATTCCATCACCATTACCTGTATCCATTTGCTCATATGCATTTTCATTCTCAGTGTCTTTTATAACATCATCACCATCTGTAAAACATTCAGTTATTGTCAGTCATTTCCCCCCAGTAAGTTTATGCCAGAAAATCTTTGAGATAAATTTTTAATACATTGCATATTGATGATAGAGTGCAGGATATGTACCAGAGGTGGGTTTTGATTTGGAGGGTAACTGTGGGTATGCTGCATGTGTTCACAGTGCAGGATATGAGATTGTAGTGGGTGTTATCTCAAATGTACCTGGTGGGTTTCAATTTGGAGGGTAACTGTGGGTATGCTGCATGTGTTCACAGTGCAGGATATGGGATTGTAGTGGGTGTCATCTCAAATGTACCTGGTGGGTTTCAATTTGGAGAGTCACTGTGGGTTAGCCACATATGTTCTAAGTGCAGGATATGGGATTGTAGTGGGTGTCATCTCAAATGTACCTGGTGGGTTTCAATTTGGAGAGTCACTGTGGGTTAGCCACATATGTTCTCAGTGCAGGATATGCTGCATGTGTTTACAGTGCAGGATATGGGATTGTAGTGGGTGTATCTCAAATGTACCAGGTGGGTTTCAATTTAGAAGGTCACTGTGGGTTAGCCACATGTGTTCTCAGTGCAGGATATGGGATTGCAGTGGGTGTATCTCAAATGTACCAGGTGGGTTTCAATTTGGAGGGTCACTGTGGGTTAGCCACATGTGTTCTCAGTGCAGGATATGGGATTGTAGTGGGTGTATCTCAAATGTACCAGGTGGGTTTCAATTTAGAAGGTCACTGTGGGTTAGCCACATGTGTTCTCAGTGCAGGATATGGGATTGTAGTGGGTGCCATCTCAAATGTACCAGGTGGGTTTCAATTTGGAGGGTCACTGTGGGTTAGCCACATGTGTTCTCAGTGCAGGATATGGGATTGTAGTGGGTGTATCTCAAATGTACCAGGTGGGTTTCAATTTGGAGGGTCACTGTGGGTTAGCCACATGTGTTCTCAGTGCAGGATATGGGATTGTAGTGGGTGTCATCTCAAATGTACCTGGTGGGTTTCAATTTGGAAGGTAACTGTGGGTATGCTGCATGTGTTCTCAGTACAGGATATTGGATTGTAGTGTGTGTATCTCAAATGTACCAGGTGGGTTTCAATTTGGAAGGTAACTGTGGGTATGCTGCACGTGTTCTCAGTACAGGATATTGGATTGTAGTGGGTGCCTTCTAACACATACCCGATGGGTTTCAATTTGGAAGATGTGAAAATTATCAATGTTATCAGAAAGTTGATTTTCTAAAATATTCAACCAAAGGAATTTGTAAAATGATTTTTGCAATACCAGTACTACAATGTCACCTTTGTGACATTTTATGCTTGGCAAATTTAGCAAGCACTATAGCAGTTACAGTCGCCTGGGTACCAGAAATATGTATTTGAAGTTTTCATGTTGGTTTGGTAAAAAAATTAAAAGCAAATATGACAGCAAGCTAATAATGCAAAACATTATTGGTGCTTTATAAAAAAATTAATTCCAAACATGAATCACAGTCTTCCCTGTTGTTCTTGAGTTAAAACTGGCCAAACAAGATAATGATTTCACCTGGTAACACAACTTCTCTGTTACCTATCTCTTCTTCCACTAGGTTGACAGGTTCATTTATTTTCAGTTTTTCAACATCAAAGTCTGGAATGTTGGCGGGCTCAACGGCCTGGCTCACATCGGGTCGGCTCATCAATGTGGAATATGTACTGGCAAACATTATTATGATTCCAAGAAACAAAACAAGCTGTAATAACAACAGTGATTATATTCATGTTAAGTAAGAACACTCAATGCAGCCAATCAGACAGCACTATGTATGTCTAATGCAGCCAATCAGACAACACCATGTATGTCTAATGCAGCCAATCAAACAGCACCATGTATTACCATGCTTACGTGAGCTGATTTGACACCTAAATACAATGTGCTTAGCTGAGCTGATTTGACACCTAAATACAATGTGCTTAGCTGAGCTGATTTGACACCTAAATACAATGTGTTCACCTGAGCTGATTTGACACCTAAATACAATGTGCTTATCTGAGCTGATTTGACACCTAAATACAATGTGCTTACCTGAGCTGATTTGACACCTAAATACAATGTGCTTATCTGAGCTGATTTGACACCTAAATACAATGTGCTTAGCTGAGCTGATTTGACACCTAAATACAATGTGCTTACCTGAGCTGATTTGACACCTAAATACAATGTGCTTATCTGAGCTGATTTGACACCTAAATACAATGTGCTTAGCTGAGCTGATTTGACACCTAAATACAATGTGCTTATCTGAGCTGATTTGACACCTAAATACAATGTGCTCACCTGAGCTGATTTGACACCTAAATACAATGTGCTTACCTGAGCTGATTTGACACCTGGACCCTTTGGTAAACATTTAAGAAACATTGTGGCTGGAAAGATAAATCCTATCATAATGCCGGTTGTGGCTCCAGTCAGGCCTAATATGGTTTCCACTGAAATATACAATAATATTACATGTTATAAAATGTACAAAGAAAAGTACAGACACATGTTCTTCGGCTGCTTCAGCCATTTTAATAGCGGTGTCCTTGGTGATTCTCTTACAACTGTTGCATCTCGAATACTGCTGAAGACTTATTTTATTTAGAGCCCTCAATGCTTTGTTTTCACTTATCTTTGCCAATGAATCTTGTAATCTGTAAATGTAATTTGTTTCAACTTTATATCTGTCACTGTTAAACGTATTTTACCTTACTGCTGTATTTTCCAAATTCAGTGTTGTGTCAATAAATGTTAGAAGTTTTTTTATTTATTGTTAGTAGTCCTCAAAAAATACTCATTTCTGGACAGTCTTGGTGGATGTAGAATAAGAAGGTTGTATGTATGTATTGCTTATGCCTGTGGAACCACTGAATTTGTAAATCTTTCTCTAGCCATCACACTATAGGTGATTTTTCGAACAATTGCGAGATCTCGCGAGATGCATGAAAGACGCACGTCGAACGTCTGCCGCAAAAATCGAACGATTTGATTTTGAACTAGAATTTCTTTATTTCGCAGCTTACATTGACCAGCCGATCTTCGACAGAGGAATATTGCTTCCGAATACCCTTACTTCATCAAAATTGCCTATCATCAAATGTGAACAGCACATTATTAAGCATGGAAATGTCCCCGAAATACTTTCGCGTTTGTCGAATCCCACGCGATGTTTGACGCGACTACGACGCTATGACCTTTGTTTGTCCTGTTTTTATGTTCGATTTCACGCATAACGCGTGATTCTCGCAGTGAATGGAAAATGGTCTATTAGAGTACTATTCTTTCATACGTATTTGAAAATGTTTTGTTGAGCTTGCATAAAAATAAAGTTGAAGATGAAAACACTTTTTCATGAATTGCACAGTATACAAGACAGAGTGCATTTATTTAACAAAGCAAAAATTCATATAAATAATTATTGAACCAGTAGTGAGAGTGATTAATTTATTTCCATTATGAGCAACAAATATATGTACTTCCCCCATTAGCTTAGTTCATTAAGACTAGTCTTAATACGAGACAATAATTGTGTTTTGATGAGTTTGGAGCTTTGTTATGTATGACCATTTTTATCTTCTATAGGAGATATTATGAGTTAATAATATTATTATTATTATGTTACAGGGTATTTCTTTATGACATGGATTCTGGTTGATAGTTCTGGTTTTATTTCAGTTAAGGTAGAGATGCATGTTCATGAATTTTTTTTTTTGCTTTTTATTATCCAAACAGTCTTGGCTATAGACTGTTAAAATTTTGTAGAATTGTGAATAGTGGAACATACTCAAAAACGATTTTAAAATATAGATAACAGGTGCAAACATTATCTCTTTTGAATGCTTAGCAAGATTTAGCAAGGCTGTATATAAATAATACAGAAAAAACATGGGGGAAAAAAAGAAATGACGGGATCTCCATATTATGCACTATATTTAACTTTTAACAAAACGATAATAAATGTTACAGCCATTTTAATTATGAGCATTAGCAAACTTCTTACTGAGTGAATTGTTCTGCAAATTAGCAATTATCTCAGCTTCTTTTTAGTGCGCATTCCAGAACTTTTTCTGGACGATTTGACCTTCTGTTTTGAAATTTTCACAAATGATTGACAATGTGTTTATCTTCAAAACACCGTCGGGGCATTGTTTTTGGTTGAACAGTGTTACAACAATCGTACAGACAACTAGCCTGGGTGTTAATTTATGCATAAACTTGAAGTAGTGAAATTTGAACTGCTGCCCTGCCAAATTGACAACTGGTAGACAGTTTTCAAGACGGAACTTTCTTCATAATAAAGAGATGTACCCATAAACCAATTTTGACAGGAAACAGAAGCATGGTTTAGAAGCTAATTTTTCCAAATCACTTTTGACCAAAAAAGCACATTTTTGTGCATATTTAAAACTACAGTGTTCATAAGTAACAAAATTATAAAATTCATACAATAAGCTTTCCGAAAATATAAAGTTTTGTGGACAAGGGATGTCATCTTGGTTTCCTAATTAACTAATTAAAATACCTGTCAGGTAAACTGCATCTCTACCTTAAGTGTCTATTCAATGTAATTTTGTTTCTAACCAAGAAAAGTATTAAAGTGGTAGATACAATGTATTCCTAACAGAAAACATTTAGGTTTATTGGGTCATAATGAACACATATCACAGGTGGCCTACATATACGTATTGTTATTTCTTTTTGTTTTATTTTTTTGGACTTTACTCAAGCTCTGTATTGTGTACGTTCCAAATAAAATATCTTGTATCTTGTTGTATCTTGTACTAAAATTTCAGATATTGGCGGTAATAAAACAATCAACACCAATCTTGACTCTTGTAATGTTATCTAAATTATATTGTCACCTGCCTTCCTTTGCATGGTAGCTCCAGTCTAAAGTATACCAACATAAATAATGGGTGTATCTAGGAGTTCAGCCATGGACACCTTTCTCAAGTAACAGTTTCATTTAGTTTACTCGGTGTAAAAATGTCACAGCTTGAGAGATATAATCAATTATTTGCTGTGTTTTAATATGTAAATCAGTCTTGAATGTCATGGGGTGACAGGAAATGTCAAGCAATTCGCAAAGTGCTGTGCAATGAGGCATGGTTTTTTTTTAACAAAAAAAAAACATTCTTTTGTATTCGGATAATTTGCAAGGAGGCGGTTTTTTCACAGAATGAAACAAAATATCTTGTACTGGGAAGTATTTCTGTTACAGTTGCCCCAGTAGATTTGCTGCCCTCACTGTCTTCGGGCGGATATATTGACCAGGAAAATGAAACTCAGTAAAATGAGATGGGGTAAAAAAGAAACTACAGATTGAGGAAAGCACTCATTGAGGAAATGCATCAAGCACACGATAATCTTTCCTTACAAACACTTAAATTGGGGTGGGGCAGCGAGTTTTCACAGTGGTAATTCATGTCACGAATTAAGTGAATTCAAGTAAAAATGGTTGCACATTAATCTGGTTATTCAAAATCAAGGTTTAAATTAAGGTTATGTAGATGACAGATCAGATAAAAAGCGATATCAACAATATCAGTCATTTTTATATTTGTCAAATAATCAAAGAGAACGTAAAGTAATTACTTTTATTAAAAAAACCACCAATTAAAATTTAATAGCTCATCATATAGAGAACATGCATCTAGAAATTACACATCTCCCATTTCAAACGACTGTTATATGATTTTTACCGTTGAAAAGTAGTTTCAAAAGATATGTTTAAGCCAAAGAGGACACTGTGAATTGCTCTATTGAATAAGTGAACTATACTCGAGGCGAAGGTACCTGGCAAAGTTATTCAACCCTATCTAGTAATGAATAAAGATGCCTAACGGCAAAATGACAGATATCAACAACCACCATTTCACTCTGCATTTTAAATAAAACACCCTTTATCTGGTACCACAAAGAGCTACATATAAATTAGTCCTCAAATCTGCTATGCACGACTGCTTTTTTAGCAACTACAAAATGCACAAACAAAAGCAGTATACCAATTTGATAAAAGATGGAGCAGGCCTTTACAATACAGGTACAATATAAACATGTAATGTCCATTATTCATAGAATACTGCATACACTGACACCACATTACAGCATTAATATAGTGGACATGCATATTAAATATTCTGTTAAACTTTATCTTGGTATATCAATAGCATGTGTTGTTATATATTCATAGACATAAATAATAATCGTTGTTATTCAAGAATGATCATATTTGATAATTTATGCAAGAAGAAATTTGTAATTCAATATTGGGATATTAAGGGATAACATCAAAAGTTAAATTCTAACTGAATAATACTGACTGCAATTTGTAAGAAAAAAACATCAATATTAAATACCGACTTAGTAGAAAAAAAATTAACTATATCTCCTATTTATATTAAATTCACAAAGTGTCATTATTAGTTATTTCTGTAAATTCATGCTTCCATGTTTTCATAGTGTCAAACCATTTCACCCAAACTAAACTTTAAACTTTTTTATTTTTTGTAGGACAAGAACTTATTTAGGGTAACCCCCTTCCACCCTTCCTTCCACATCAAACAACGTCATCAGGTATTATCAACTCAATGTGCAAGTTTTTTATGTTAAGTATCATGGCTGAGTGAAGACATTGTAAGGCTTTATGAGTTCCAGCATCCCAGCCTTTTCCGTTTTTTTTTTCTTTTATTTTTAAACTTTATTTTTTTCTTTTCATATACTTTATGTGATTTTATACTTTGAAAAAATTTGATAGTTAAACATAATAATAAACCACATCCAGTGATAAAACCCATACTGTACGAAATAAAGAGCTAATTGGTGTATTAATAAGTCAACTTGCTTTCAATTGGACAAGTGGAGATTAACCTTGACAAGGTCGTCTACAAACAAAGATGTACAGTATACCTAATAGTTTTAGTGAAGAAGTGAAGGTTACTAATAAAAACGTGCTGCCCACTACACTAACTAACTTCTCACCATATCTGCTTTATTATAAACACCTTGATGCTTAATAACTAAATTATGACCTATTTTGACCATATAGTTAGGTAAGCATTTACCCAATATAATATTTCAACGAAAGCGACAATGATTTCAATGTGTATATGATTTATTGATACGTACAAGTTAAACAGATTGTGTTTGTCCCCAAACGCTGCTTCCCATACTAACTTAAATTTTCCAATCTCTCCTGGACTCATAAGTAATGTAAATTATACTTGTCAGTCAAATAAGTAGATAGTGAAATAAGAACAGAGATGGATCTGTCTTGTACCCCATCTCCACCCAAGACGAGGCAAGGATGGGTGGTCTTAACCGAAAACACTTCAAAACCCATTGATTTGATTTTAAAGATATACAATCCAGATTTTAGTGACTAACTTTGGCAGCTTGCTAGCATACAAATGCCAAGACTACTAATTATTGCATCATCATAGCATGTGTGGACTGGGCCTATATTGTCATACTTGATTAGCCTATTGCATTCCTAGTCTAGAAATTTGATGAACAATGTAAACTTTTTGTTTTAAATTCCCTACATGATACAACTTATTTCTTGAAATGTGGAAAATAAAGACTCATACACTTCTAGATCAATTTAGTGGGTGGGGTGTACCCACACAAGAGTTTCCATGGTATGCCCCTCCCCCTCCTTAAGGTGTACCTACCTTGACCCCTTTATGAAAAGAAAAAAAAACAAGCAGGTGTGGTCATTAATTTTCTGCTGAACACCCCTCTTCCTCAAAATTGTACTATCCTTGAACTCTGGTAAAGATATAGGACACAAGTCTGCCTATTATTTATTCATAGACGCAGTCTGTGATTTATGTAAGCTGAAAATGACCTCAGGGGCAATCCTCCGAAACACCAAATCCGATTTTCACTTTACAACATAATTACATAACGTTGCACAGTAACACAAATATGTTGAGCGGTACTTCACACAGAAACTATGTGGAAATGTTTTTTTAAGAAGAGAGGACACAAACTGGAAGTGAAGCTTTAGAAAACTAATTTCAATAACTTAGAGTAACCTATTACAACCTTGCTTGATGAGAATCTAAATGTTAAATAACAAAAAAAAACTAATGATGTACTTTCTGATATCTTTTTGTTGCAGGGTGCAGTTTGGAAACAAGGTGGGAACAATTCTGAGAAAAAATGAACAATGAGGTCATCATAATAAAATAACAAGCAGTCTCTTGGCTGAGATAGCTCTGCTGTTAGCAATATACATTTCAATTAGATAATTGAAGATATCATTAGAAAATGAACAAATCAGAGATCAGTCCATATGTTCGTTTACAAAGCATTCAGACTTGCAGTTTTCAACAAGATGTGTTCATCAAACTTAGAAAATAAAGATATCATCACAAAATGAACAAGTCATTGTCAATGACACGTCCCCGTTCCGTTCATATTTGAGTGACATATACATTCAAAGCAGATCATGACCGAAATGCACCTGCATATGTACAACACATTGTGCTAAATCTGAACAAAATCCATCCATGCATGACTGAGATCCGGTTCTGGAATTGTGAAAATACGTGATTTTGATGCATTTTCGGCCTTAAAATGGCCATCATTCCGCTATTGTTAAGCAGATCATGAAACAAATGCACATATCTATTTGTGACATGATGTACCATGTGTGTGTGAAGTTTGAACTTGATCAATCCAGACATGTCTTGGATACGGATCCAGAACTGAATTCTTTAACAAAATG